CAATGTAAAAGACAAAATAAACACTGTGCATAAAAATATTAAAGACAAAATTAAACTATAGATCAGTTGTTTGTCTAAAACTTAATATGTATCCTTGTTGTTTCCCCGGATACCTTGATTTTTTAACCTGAACATAATATAACAGTATAAAAATTATATTCGTAGATACACAAGCTGGTTAAGATAGTTTTGATCGAAGAAAAGGCCACGAATCCACCCATGACAGAAAAAGAAACCCGATAGTGATGGACGTTTATTAAAAGCTTAATATTCAAATATTAAACTTAAATAAACAAGTTTGACACGATGCGTTTTAACTCTGAAGTATACACATGCATTGTGAGTGGTTTTCTTTACACAAGTTGTCGCTTTCTTGCAATCTATTTTCTTCACCTAAGTTAGCTTAGTACTTCAGCTGGTTAGGGGATTTCGTACTCTCTCATTACGAGCCGCTTGTAAGGGTGTCATTGTAACTACCAGTGCAATAATCTAACACATAAACCACCTCAACGTGCACGTAATACATTAACTACCTTACAAGAGTCTCAGTTAAGGCTCAAAAATTATATTTCATGCATGAAAAATTTAATAGTTTAGAACAACTCTTCGCATCACCCAAAAATCAGTACTTGAAACTCTGGCGTGTTCCAACCACCGACTTGAAAAATTAGACCGTACTGCTTAGCTATAGCATAATACACAACACCACACCGCGAAAGTACTGCTCGAGAGATTTCACGGAATGACCAAACACTGGGTTCCCATTCTTGGACTTAAGAAGCACCTTATATATTTCTCAACAGAATAAGCAGTACCGCATGAAAGTACTCAGTAGCTTTCATTTGAATGGCCACATTTTTCGGTCCCCGCTGACGAAAATGCACCTACCGTACAAATATTTTCTTGCCTGCATCGGTCTTGACTGGTTCAATTAGTTTCCACGATTCTCTAAGAATATTTTTTCTTTTGTCTGAAAGCGGAATATCCCTGATTCTCAAATTTGAAGTTGGCGGAGCTGAAAATACTACTTCGATTCTGTGGTTAAGCGAGGAGGAACAACCCATTATAAAAAGAACGACTGTAAAAGCGTCAGTGAATTTGTATCGAGAACTAGGAATAAATTGACCTTAAAAGTATTAATTTGCATCACTGACTACCCTGTCACTCGTCCCATTAACTAGTCAAAAATAATATTTAAAAAAAATAGTCGGTGCCGGGAAGCATCTTTGTGGTTCCGTCAAGCGTCGAAATGTCCGTTCTGTTTACTTTTCTGTGACAGGATTGCTTAGCTTTATAAACGAGTGACCTCTAAATACCATTTTCGTACACAGTCAAATATTTCCCTTGAAATATATCTGTCTGATCTGCGTCCCTTCATTACAATAAATAAGGAAATTTTAGAAATTTAATAATTAATGGTGATTAGCAAACTGCTAAATGTTGAATGTGATATTTTCGGTTTAAAAATAAATTTTGCACCTACTAGTTAAGTCAATTTACATGCAGTCAGAAAGTACAGCTGTTATTTGATATTATGACAGTGTGAAAGAAATTAATTCTACAATTCTAACAATTCCACAATTCTACAATTGTACAATTGTACAATTGTACAATTGTACAATTCTACAACTCTACAATTCTACGATTCTAACAATTCTACAATTCTAAGCGAACATGAGTAAATTAAAGCTGTTTTCTTGCTTAAAATGTTCAAGGTAGATTACAGCCAGATTGTGGAATTTCACAAACATTTATTAATTAAGATCGTAGACCCCGTATCATCACGTCACAGACGAACAGGAAGAGTTTGCTCCAGGCGTCCGCAGTATCACTGTTCCAGGTGGAGTGTAAAAGATCGTTCAAAGTCCACATGAACGCTTTGTGCATCGCCTGGAAAGAAGAAAACACTGAAATAAATTTATGTACATGTATTTAGTTATGATAATGATGATTTGTCCCTTAGCTCCGGACTACTTGACTACTTCCGTTCTCCATCGGCTTCTGTCCTGGGCAAGCCTTCCTTGTGTGTTCCAAGTGTGGCCCGACCTCGTATTTAGTTACAAGGGACTCCGATATTTCTAACATTGCAGGGGCGGATCCAGGATTTTTCTTAGGAAGGGGTGCACCACTAAGGAATGGCGTAGCTGACTGATGAGTTAAGCAAATTTTAAAAGCGAATACGAAAAAGAAGGCTTCATCTCAGGGGAGGGAGGGGTGGTTTGTGCACTCCCTGAACCCTCCCCCTAGATCCGCCCATTGCCATTTTTCAGTCATTTTGGCCACGTACAAAATACAATTTAAATTGAAGGAAACCTGAAAATAACAGTTTACTAAGGTAGAAAAACACCAAAAAAGATAATAATAAACCATAGAGGAACAAGGATGTTTAAGGATTGAGAAGATAAACACAGATTAAAAACGACGAAATTAAAAAAATTTGGCTAAGCTTTTCAAGTGACGTAGCTCCTTTAACCGTACCCATTCCGGGATTTTCTTCATCTGTTACAACTGGGGAGGGATGGAGTCTGCCCCTCCCCATCTCCTTCGTAAAAATAATTTACATAAGTGCAAAACTCTGTCCAAACCGGCAGCTGTAGACACAGAAATGAATTTCTTAGACTATTATTCGGCCAAATGTTCTTGTATTTGGGCAGAAATTATGAAGAGATCTGAAGGCTCCTGTTACTCTCCGTGAGCTTTCACTGTATAACTCTGAACGAGCTGAATATAGTCTCAGATTTTCACTACAATACTTGATTAGTAACGGTGAAAGCTAGAAAACCTCACCTCTAGATAATCAGGTTTTAGCGCTCGCACTTTGTGCCTCCGTCCCAGTTCCTCCAAGTAAGCAGTAAAGCTCTCGGCGTCATCCAGTGCTGATACAGCATTTTCCACTGCGCGCATTACTCTCTCAGCATGACCAAATACGGTACTTGACGCATCAAGCTGTCCACTGGTAATGCTCTTCAATTCTGGAAACAGTTTTGGGAGATCTGGTTTCATGTGAAATAGCCTACGAGAACGAAGATGAATATCCAAAACGAGAGACAGTGTCTTACGACATTTCAAAACACTAAGAAAGAGAAATGTAAGTAAAACTCTGTCAGGAGTCTTCGCTATCTCTCTTGAATTTAAACTGAGGAGAAATCAGACAAATGAAATCTTAATAATTATGCTTTTTTAGACCAGATATTTTTAAAGCACCATCACGGTTATGATTTTCGTTGTTTAAAGATATGTCTTTGGTAAAAATCTTAACTGATATTTCAGTGGCAACCATATTTTGACAGGCATGTTTTGAATGTTTGAATGTCAATTTTAATGAAAAATTATCTTTAGTGGGTCGAATTACCTGCTACATTTTTGGTTATGTTTAGTTTTCTTTATCGGTTTGGACTAATTTTGAGCCATTTCCGGTTGATTTCTAACGTTTTATAAAAGTTGTAAAATCCAATATGGCGGACCCTAAAAGGCGGATCTAAGATGGCAACTCTTCGGAAATGATTGCGTCATTCTACGTCATATGACGTCATGAAAGCATGCATATATGCATGCACACATACAGCATAATAAAATGTCCTCTGGCCGCTAGCTGACTTGAAAAGTAAAATGTTCAACTTTTGTGAATTTCTGACGATACGCCCGCGTATTTCGCCTGAGAAATTGGGATGAGGGGTACTCTGGCACGCGGCCTGTCAGACACTTATTAAAGACGGTGATAAGCAGTACGTCAATCTAGTTGAGTTGCTACTGGCAACCAGTTAAGCTCTATAAAAAGTGGCGAAATATGATCGTACTTAGGTGTGCTTTTCACAACACATACGAGCGGCGAAGTTCTGAATGGCTTGTTATAGTTCCATATGATGGATCTCAAAGGTAAACGTTTTGGATGTGCTTTAAATCCGCCAATTTTCATTTTCATAATGTTAATGCTCTCATCCTCGGAGACCCAGGGGCAGTTAATTGGGGCGGGAGAAAATAACTTGAACCCGGCAAAAATTGAAGTGTAGAAAGTTTACAAGTAAGGCGGGAAAAGGGATGTAATGCTCTGAGCATTAAATCTTCCTTTTCTATCCCAGAAGACCAAACAAGCCCTGTTCTTCAGTAGGTCTTCACAGACGCCGGTGTATTGGGGAGAGAAATGTTAATTGGAAAGTTTATCGACTTGGTTGACCCGGTTTGATCGGTCGGACTGGTCGAGTTGTGTTCAAGCAGAAAAAGATGTGTAAAATGTCTCCTCTGATTAAACCGATACTTGCACGAGTTAGTACATTTACACTGAAGTTTGTATGATTTGTACTTACAAGCGTCCTAAACATTAAAAATGTATATTTAGATCTCAGTACAAAGTTTAACCTACGTAACTGTTGGTCTTAGTCGGACCGATGGAAAAATAAAACCATCAGATCATTGCCGAAGCGGGGGAAATAGTGGTTCTCGTGTTTGCGGTTTCTTCGCTATTTTGCTGTTTGAGGGGGACAACTGCCAGTCTCGTAGGCGATACACTGCTCAGGCCGACACTCTTTTTTGCATATTTCGCTCTTATGTCTAATAAATCGAACTTCCAGAGTTCAAAAACTGATTGCGTGCAAATTTAGTCATGTCTAGGCTAGTTAGCTGCTGTTTCAATGCTAAGTACAAGAGACCCTTAAATAAACCCTGCTAATCTATAGCTGCGTTTTAAGACACTTTAAAGTGTCTTACCTGAGAAAGATTGTCTTTCCAACAAGCGTGCTATTCATCTTGATCAGACCCCACGAGTTTCTTACAAGGCATTTTTCCTTGGTAGAAAGAGGTATAGAAACTGAATTGTTATTAATTTCTATGTGCCTTTTGACGGACGCAGAACAGCCCATACTCTGACCTTCACTTATTTCGTCGATTCGAAAAAGCTGAAAGAAGAGCTTAACTGAACACCGATCCGGTCAAAGAACGTTTTAAAGTCTTAGATACGAATCATTCTTATCAGTTGCCATGTGATACGTACGTTCCTTTGAGTTTTTTCAAGATTTTAAAACGTACTGAGGGTCCTAGAACTGCGTCAGTTGTTTCCACTAGCGTAACATATACAAACTGAAGTCTCCAGGCTCAAATTACAGTCAATTTTGATCGAAATTAAATATTAAGGGTCTTTCGCTTGAGAAACGTGCTTTTTATCCATGCTTCGCTTTAGCGTATTTCGGTAACAACTGAAGAACTTAAGGAAAAATTTCAACCTGCCGTTAAGTAACGTTTTAAAAGAATCTTAGATATGGATCGATATTTTAGCTTGAAATAACTGTACTACAAATAATTGCCGTCATTACTACAGGCTCTGACGACATGCCGTTTTCGGATCAATCAGCTTCCCGCTCTGATTGACGCGAGATACGCCGACAAATCTCTTGTGTTTTGGGTCCTTTTAAAGCTTTTAAATAGCGAATGAGAAACAAATTCAAGTCTGAAAGCTCAAATAACAGTCAATGCTAGTTTTAAAGGAAATATGAAGTACACTTAGTTTACACAATACTACTCCAAAAAGCTTGCACTTTCCGTGCTCAAGTATTTCGCTGATAGAAAGATCGAGAAGAAATTTTCAAACATATTCCGTGGAGTATCATTTTAAAAATCTTAGATAAGAATCGATATCTCAGTATGAAATAAATGTGATGTCTGTTGCTGTCATTACATTTTAGGCGGCTTGCTGGGTAAGCGTCATTACATGTGACTAACTAACAATCAATTTGACAAATTTCACACCTCTACTGAATTTTCCAGAACTTTCTAGAACTGTAGTTAACAGAGCAAAGACAATTACTTCCAGTAGCTTATGAGATACATTTTAAGGTTCTTGGCTCAAATTTCGGTCGATTAAAAACGAAATAATAAAGCGCGCTACGTTTGTGCAATGGCCGCCGATCTGAAAATCTGACCTTTACCAAGCTTTTGTTTAAATGATTAAATTTAGCATGGTTCTACTTCAAACAGCAAAAGTTTATGAAATATGCAACAAAGCACGATTGTGCATAATAATTAGCTCTGATCGGGACCACATATAAATTAACCGAAAGACAATTAATCTTGCTACAACGAAACGCTTCCTTTAAGATCTCCATCGTTCGATGTTGATGCCTCCTTCGTATAAGATAAACAAAGCAAAGACTTTCTTACTTTGTGCAATTCCTTCTTGATGTTATTCACATATGTCAGAGACTTAGTTGAGGTTCTCACGAAAATAAATTAAAAAAATACCGGTAATGGTCTTCCGGCGAGGACCATCGATAATGTTTGCTGCGTTGTGAGCAAAATGTGTGGTCCATTATTGCCAATTTTTAATTTGTCCGTAAGGTTTTATCAAAAAGTTTCAGAAAAGCTTAGAGGATCAACGACGTTTAAATCATTTATATCGAAAAATATAGCTATTCCATGTCTTACAGGATTAAGCTGCATGCACCTAAAAGAAACTGGTAGCGATTTATGCCAAGATTTGCAAACTTTAATTCGCCATAGTACATAGCAGCGACAGTCTTTGTTTAGGTTTGGAAAGAAGACGACTTTACAGACAATAGCTTGTCCTCTGTTGGGGTACTTTATAATAAAGTTTAGACTAAATCCATTTTGTTATGGTTACTTGAAACACGGTGTCATTTTGGTAATTTTCGGAGAATAATTTCTTCAATTTGTCTAAGATGAAACCTAAAAAAAAGCGTCACACAGATCGGCTGCCCTCAATCTTGTTTCTTGTTTGGCTAAAATCAAAATCGTTTCTTTTTATGTGAATATGCTTATGACTGACGGCAGGAGAGGAACAAACATTATGAAAACACAGGAAATCTCTTAGCTAATTGATTTGCTTTCTTGTTTTCTCCTCCTTCACGTTGAAATACGCTTTTAACGTCTAACTGTGTAAAAGTAAGGTTTTCCATCACAAAGCAGCAGGGAGGAAAGCCGACTGTTTTTCTTTGTTGAGAGAGTGTCCGGCGAAGAAACGAATTTCGCGGCCGCAAAAGATTTATGGTAAGCAAAGCCTCATAGTTGTGCCTTTGGGACTAGAAATTAGCGATAACTTACTATCACATCGGAAAAATATTTAACCTTGAAGGCTTCTTATAGACCAAACATGCAATAATTTGCCAAGTTTAATATTTTTCTGTCAGACTAAAATTATTCATTACAGTAATTGGTCATGCATTTGAATTTGCTTGTAGTCTCTTGTGTTACGATTCCTGCGGGATACTTAGAGAACCTTGCGCCGTTTCAAAGCGGCATACCTTGGTATTTAATATATTTGTTGCTTTCCACGAACTGCAAAAAGAACCGAGCGGTAGTTGGGTTAGACTAATTCTATTTTCATAATGATGCATCTTTCGGAGAGACAAATTAAAGTAAACTCTACTAGGTATATTTAATTTTGAAATCAGTCATAGTTCTTTACTGAAACTAGCAATTTCTTTCAATCTAATGAAACGGCAATTAAAAAAAAACCGTTCATTTATTAATTCAATGGTTGAAATGCAAATTATTTTGTTCGCGATCGGAGTTTTTACTTTGTAGAATAATGCAGAAGACTTTGGGTTTCTGAAAGCTTTCTGGAACGACAATTCTAAATCATAAAATTGAAATGGACAAGTATTTTCGACATTCATTAAAAATAGTTTTTCATGATAATATAATTTTATAAAATGAAGAAGACTTCATCTGTCAAGGAATCAAAAGAGCGGCAACATAGCAGCGACCGACGTTTTGGTGCTATGGGGTTGTTTCATGACGTTCACGGATGGCTGCGAACTCCTTCTGAGGCTTGAGTAAAGAAGAAAGTTTCTAAGCAAACGTATAAAAATATTGTTTGGAAAAATAATATGTCCTGGATGACGTTATGTGTCATCTCTCTTCTTACTGATTTTCGCACTGACAATTCTTCCAATGTCAGTTTCGAAAATGGAATGGTACGTTAAGAAACTTGGTTCATGATATTCAAAATTTTGATTACCTATCTACTTTACAAAGAATAAAGATTCTAAGGCGACTATTTTTTCTTATTTATTGTCTTAGGGTGTAGGGAGAAATTCGATTTTGATCAGTCATGGTAACAGAGGATTCAGTGATCTTGAATATACATTCTCAAAGGAAATTATGACCGTTACAATTTTTATATTTGATCTTAATTTCTATTGATTTGTACGATTTTACTTCTCCGTTTTCTCCTTAATTTCGAGTCAGAAGATATATCAAACACTCAAGACAGTGTTTGACCACATTTCCAAATACCTCAGAGTTCGTAAAAAATACTGCGCTTCGCGTCGTACTTTCAACTATCTTCTCGGTGTTTGGAAATGTGGTCAAATATGTATGATATAGGATATCAAAGCTGTATCAAGCAGACAGCGTGGTGAAAGCGGAAGATCCTTATTTAGAGAGTATTAAGCAGTCGGGATGCAAAGTCCCAGAAAATACACCACTCAATAACGAAAATAACCTTTAATCTTACAAAATCCCTGCTGAAGGGTATTTGAATATAAAAGAAGTGTCTTAAATTATCACTTAACATTTTAAACACGAGTTAAAAAAACAAAACAATTGATTTTACCGAAAATCTCTAGGCGCGCAAAAGTCATGTTTACATGTATGTGTAACAAGGTGTATGTTTATTTTTCATTTTCATTTCTATTGTAAACTTCATTAAACAGCCATTAAATTTAAATAAAGAAAGAAAGAAAGAAAGAAATAAGTCAAAAAGTTCAGTGGAAGCTGGATGGAGATGTAGTATCTATGTCCAGGCTCCCTCGACTGACTTCATCTGTGAACTAGCTTCCCTGGGTTTGATGGTCCGCCAACCTGTATCAAACGGTCACCTTCCCATACCCTAAGGGTGACTCTTAATACGGCTTTAATTATACCATGGATGGTTAAAGGATAGTGTGAGATTTGACTCTGTAAACTAACAAAATTTCAAAATCAGTTCTCTTTAAGCCAGAGGCAATTCGTAAAAAAAAAACAATCTTGACCGAGAAGAAGCGAAAACGTCACTGAATTTACTTAAAATGTATGTAATGTTGACAGCTCTGACAACAAAAAACAACTTTATTATTATTATTATAAAGTTGGCCTTCAACCAGCCTTAAGAGCGTGAAAGCCCTGGCCAAACGGACTAGCAAGTAGACGCAAGTTGAAAACCTGGGTCTAATTGCGATTCCGTTTGGCCTTGAGTGCACTTGCGTGGACTTGTGATAACTTGCGCTTACCTTGATCGAAATCAACTTGCACGCAAGTCGAGGAAAGCTTTTCACCGTTCGGCTGCCCAACCCAAGTCAACGGAAGTTAGGTGACGTTAATAGTTACCTATTACCCAATGAAATACAGAAAATGTGTGCCTCAAAATGGGTTTTTTGCGACTTGCGTGCGCTTGCGACGAAACGAATCCGTTTGGCCATCCAACGCGAGTCTCTACACAAGTTCAACTTACGGCTACTTGCGACTACTTGCGACCATTTGCGAGTCCGTTTGGCCAGGACTTAAATTTCAAGTGAGTATAACCTTGGTCAGTGACGCTTCAACTAAAAGCTTTTGAGTAGTAATTTGACGTACTGTCACATATTGTTAAAGATGCTCCTTACCTGTACGTCTTGCGCACGGAACTAAACGTGCCACACGTCTCTTCAGTTGAAAGCCTTGAGCTAAGCACCACTTTGTTTGAAGTGCTACTGGCATGTTGTTTTTTAATTTACGATGTGTAATAGGGGGATATATTTTTGAATCGTTGAAATTAAAAGGGTAATAATAACAAAAGCTCACACCAAAAGTCGACGCTTATAATCGGCATTGTTGCCGAGAACCTTCAAGTGAATTGAGTTTGAGATGTTCACCTGTTTTCCTGTCGACTTCATCATTTGTTTCGTTCTAAGTATTCAAAGTATAAAAACAAAAAAGTATGGTCAAGTTGGCCAGATCTTTCAATCATTTCAGTTTGACCGTATTTGAATTGCAAATGTATGTTCGTGAGATTAGACGTAAGTAACTCGGTTTTGTCAGTTGAAAACTTTAAAATACGTAGTAATTCAGAAAACAGTGGGATTTCTGAACAATAGAACCTCCGCTTTCTTATTCCTTCGAAATAATAACTTTAATGAACTTTTTTATTTCGGCAGTGAAACAAGGATGAAAACGTACCGATTTTTAAAGATGGCCAAATTGACAAGACAAAATTTGCTTACATGCACAGTTAATATTACCTTTTGTTTAAAAACCCAGCTGTAAATGTTGTTTTTAAGAACTCGGTTGTCCTTTTAGTCAGTGGCTCAACATTACGCATTTCTCCAACTTTGCACTGAAATTGAATAGCAGGATTTCTGATTTTTCCGGTCCTAAAATCTCACCAAGTGCGTAAGTATATCCCAGAAGAAGTCAAATCTTCATTACCAAGCNCGTAACATATACAAACTGAAGTCTCCAGGCTCAAATTACAGTCAATTTTGATCGAAATTAAATATTAAGGGTCTTTCGCTTGAGAAACGTGCTTTTTATCCATGCTTCGCTTTAGCGTATTTCGGTAACAACTGAAGAACTTAAGGAAAAATTTCAACCTGCCGTTAAGTAACGTTTTAAAAGAATCTTAGATATGGATCGATATTTTAGCTTGAAATAACTGTACTACAAATAATTGCCGTCATTACTACAGGCTCTGACGACATGCCGTTTTCGGATCAATCAGCTTCCCGCTCTGATTGACGCGAGATACGCCGACAAATCTCTTGTGTTTTGGGTCCTTTTAAAGCTTTTAAATAGCGAATGAGAAACAAATTCAAGTCTGAAAGCTCAAATAACAGTCAATGCTAGTTTTAAAGGAAATATGAAGTACACTTAGTTTACACAATACTACTCCAAAAAGCTTGCACTTTCCGTGCTCAAGTATTTCGCTGATAGAAAGATCGAGAAGAAATTTTCAAACATATTCCGTGGAGTATCATTTTAAAAATCTTAGATAAGAATCGATATCTCAGTATGAAATAAATGTGATGTCTGTTGCTGTCATTACATTTTAGGCGGCTTGCTGGGTAAGCGTCATTACATGTGACTAACTAACAATCAATTTGACAAATTTCACACCTCTACTGAATTTTCCAGAACTTTCTAGAACTGTAGTTAACAGAGCAAAGACAATTACTTCCAGTAGCTTATGAGATACATTTTAAGGTTCTTGGCTCAAATTTCGGTCGATTAAAAACGAAATAATAAAGCGCGCTACGTTTGTGCAATGGCCGCCGATCTGAAAATCTGACCTTTACCAAGCTTTTGTTTAAATGATTAAATTTAGCATGGTTCTACTTCAAACAGCAAAAGTTTATGAAATATGCAACAAAGCACGATTGTGCATAATAATTAGCTCTGATCGGGACCACATATAAATTAACCGAAAGACAATTAATCTTGCTACAACGAAACGCTTCCTTTAAGATCTCCATCGTTCGATGTTGATGCCTCCTTCGTATAAGATAAACAAAGCAAAGACTTTCTTACTTTGTGCAATTCCTTCTTGATGTTATTCACATATGTCAGAGACTTAGTTGAGGTTCTCACGAAAATAAATTAAAAAAATACCGGTAATGGTCTTCCGGCGAGGACCATCGATAATGTTTGCTGCGTTGTGAGCAAAATGTGTGGTCCATTATTGCCAATTTTTAATTTGTCCGTAAGGTTTTATCAAAAAGTTTCAGAAAAGCTTAGAGGATCAACGACGTTTAAATCATTTATATCGAAAAATATAGCTATTCCATGTCTTACAGGATTAAGCTGCATGCACCTAAAAGAAACTGGTAGCGATTTATGCCAAGATTTGCAAACTTTAATTCGCCATAGTACATAGCAGCGACAGTCTTTGTTTAGGTTTGGAAAGAAGACGACTTTACAGACAATAGCTTGTCCTCTGTTGGGGTACTTTATAATAAAGTTTAGACTAAATCCATTTTGTTATGGTTACTTGAAACACGGTGTCATTTTGGTAATTTTCGGAGAATAATTTCTTCAATTTGTCTAAGATGAAACCTAAAAAAAAGCGTCACACAGATCGGCTGCCCTCAATCTTGTTTCTTGTTTGGCTAAAATCAAAATCGTTTCTTTTTATGTGAATATGCTTATGACTGACGGCAGGAGAGGAACAAACATTATGAAAACACAGGAAATCTCTTAGCTAATTGATTTGCTTTCTTGTTTTCTCCTCCTTCACGTTGAAATACGCTTTTAACGTCTAACTGTGTAAAAGTAAGGTTTTCCATCACAAAGCAGCAGGGAGGAAAGCCGACTGTTTTTCTTTGTTGAGAGAGTGTCCGGCGAAGAAACGAATTTCGCGGCCGCAAAAGATTTATGGTAAGCAAAGCCTCATAGTTGTGCCTTTGGGACTAGAAATTAGCGATAACTTACTATCACATCGGAAAAATATTTAACCTTGAAGGCTTCTTATAGACCAAACATGCAATAATTTGCCAAGTTTAATATTTTTCTGTCAGACTAAAATTATTCATTACAGTAATTGGTCATGCATTTGAATTTGCTTGTAGTCTCTTGTGTTACGATTCCTGCGGGATACTTAGAGAACCTTGCGCCGTTTCAAAGCGGCATACCTTGGTATTTAATATATTTGTTGCTTTCCACGAACTGCAAAAAGAACCGAGCGGTAGTTGGGTTAGACTAATTCTATTTTCATAATGATGCATCTTTCGGAGAGACAAATTAAAGTAAACTCTACTAGGTATATTTAATTTTGAAATCAGTCATAGTTCTTTACTGAAACTAGCAATTTCTTTCAATCTAATGAAACGGCAATTAAAAAAAAACCGTTCATTTATTAATTCAATGGTTGAAATGCAAATTATTTTGTTCGCGATCGGAGTTTTTACTTTGTAGAATAATGCAGAAGACTTTGGGTTTCTGAAAGCTTTCTGGAACGACAATTCTAAATCATAAAATTGAAATGGACAAGTATTTTCGACATTCATTAAAAATAGTTTTTCATGATAATATAATTTTATAAAATGAAGAAGACTTCATCTGTCAAGGAATCAAAAGAGCGGCAACATAGCAGCGACCGACGTTTTGGTGCTATGGGGTTGTTTCATGACGTTCACGGATGGCTGCGAACTCCTTCTGAGGCTTGAGTAAAGAAGAAAGTTTCTAAGCAAACGTATAAAAATATTGTTTGGAAAAATAATATGTCCTGGATGACGTTATGTGTCATCTCTCTTCTTACTGATTTTCGCACTGACAATTCTTCCAATGTCAGTTTCGAAAATGGAATGGTACGTTAAGAAACTTGGTTCATGATATTCAAAATTTTGATTACCTATCTACTTTACAAAGAATAAAGATTCTAAGGCGACTATTTTTTCTTATTTATTGTCTTAGGGTGTAGGGAGAAATTCGATTTTGATCAGTCATGGTAACAGAGGATTCAGTGATCTTGAATATACATTCTCAAAGGAAATTATGACCGTTACAATTTTTATATTTGATCTTAATTTCTATTGATTTGTACGATTTTACTTCTCCGTTTTCTCCTTAATTTCGAGTCAGAAGATATATCAAACACTCAAGACAGTGTTTGACCACATTTCCAAATACCTCAGAGTTCGTAAAAAATACTGCGCTTCGCGTCGTACTTTCAACTATCTTCTCGGTGTTTGGAAATGTGGTCAAATATGTATGATATAGGATATCAAAGCTGTATCAAGCAGACAGCGTGGTGAAAGCGGAAGATCCTTATTTAGAGAGTATTAAGCAGTCGGGATGCAAAGTCCCAGAAAATACACCACTCAATAACGAAAATAACCTTTAATCTTACAAAATCCCTGCTGAAGGGTATTTGAATATAAAAGAAGTGTCTTAAATTATCACTTAACATTTTAAACACGAGTTAAAAAAACAAAACAATTGATTTTACCGAAAATCTCTAGGCGCGCAAAAGTCATGTTTACATGTATGTGTAACAAGGTGTATGTTTATTTTTCATTTTCATTTCTATTGTAAACTTCATTAAACAGCCATTAAATTTAAATAAAGAANGCGCGCAAAAGTCATGTTTACATGTATGTGTAACAAGGTGTATGTTTATTTTTCATTTTCATTTCTATTGTAAACTTCATTAAACAGCCATTAAATTTAAATAAAGAAAGAAAGAAAGAAAGAAATAAGTCAAAAAGTTCAGTGGAAGCTGGATGGAGATGTAGTATCTATGTCCAGGCTCCCTCGACTGACTTCATCTGTGAACTAGCTTCCCTGGGTTTGATGGTCCGCCAACCTGTATCAAACGGTCACCTTCCCATACCCTAAGGGTGACTCTTAATACGGCTTTAATTATACCATGGATGGTTAAAGGATAGTGTGAGATTTGACTCTGTAAACTAACAAAATTTCAAAATCAGTTCTCTTTAAGCCAGAGGCAATTCGTAAAAAAAAAACAATCTTGACCGAGAAGAAGCGAAAACGTCACTGAATTTACTTAAAATGTATGTAATGTTGACAGCTCTGACAACAAAAAACAACTTTATTATTATTATTATAAAGTTGGCCTTCAACCAGCCTTAAGAGCGTGAAAGCCCTGGCCAAACGGACTAGCAAGTAGACGCAAGTTGAAAACCTGGGTCTAATTGCGATTCCGTTTGGCCTTGAGTGCACTTGCGTGGACTTGTGATAACTTGCGCTTACCTTGATCGAAATCAACTTGCACGCAAGTCGAGGAAAGCTTTTCACCGTTCGGCTGCCCAACCCAAGTCAACGGAAGTTAGGTGACGTTAATAGTTACCTATTACCCAATGAAATACAGAAAATGTGTGCCTCAAAATGGGTTTTTTGCGACTTGCGTGCGCTTGCGACGAAACGAATCCGTTTGGCCATCCAACGCGAGTCTCTACACAAGTTCAACTTACGGCTACTTGCGACTACTTGCGACCATTTGCGAGTCCGTTTGGCCAGGACTTAAATTTCAAGTGAGTATAACCTTGGTCAGTGACGCTTCAACTAAAAGCTTTTGAGTAGTAATTTGACGTACTGTCACATATTGTTAAAGATGCTCCTTACCTGTACGTCTTGCGCACGGAACTAAACGTGCCACACGTCTCTTCAGTTGAAAGCCTTGAGCTAAGCACCACTTTGTTTGAAGTGCTACTGGCATGTTGTTTTTTAATTTACGATGTGTAATAGGGGGATATATTTTTGAATCGTTGAAATTAAAAGGGTAATAATAACAAAAGCTCACACCAAAAGTCGACGCTTATAATCGGCATTGTTGCCGAGAACCTTCAAGTGAATTGAGTTTGAGATGTTCACCTGTTTTCCTGTCGACTTCATCATTTGTTTCGTTCTAAGTATTCAAAGTATAAAAACAAAAAAGTATGGTCAAGTTGGCCAGATCTTTCAATCATTTCAGTTTGACCGTATTTGAATTGCAAATGTATGTTCGTGAGATTAGACGTAAGTAACTCGGTTTTGTCAGTTGAAAACTTTAAAATACGTAGTAATTCAGAAAACAGTGGGATTTCTGAACAATAGAACCTCCGCTTTCTTATTCCTTCGAAATAATAACTTTAATGAACTTTTTTATTTCGGCAGTGAAACAAGGATGAAAACGTACCGATTTTTAAAGATGGCCAAATTGACAAGACAAAATTTGCTTACATGCACAGTTAATATTACCTTTTGTTTAAAAACCCAGCTGTAAATGTTGTTTTTAAGAACTCGGTTGTCCTTTTAGTCAGTGGCTCAACATTACGCATTTCTCCAACTTTGCACTGAAATTGAATAGCAGGATTTCTGATTTTTCCGGTCCTAAAATCTCACCAAGTGCGTAAGTATATCCCAGAAGAAGTCAAATCTTCATTACCAAGCTTTTAAAACTCTCTTGAAACTTAAGATTTATAAAAGAAATAAATTATCGTCATTAACAAGCGAGAGTGTATGTGGATAATTTGAACACACATCTGAGCTGTACGCCCGGGGCTGTACGTTTCGGTCAAACTCTTGTTTTGGACACAATTCACACCATAGTTAATAGAGAAACAATTTTGCTTTTCTCAATTGCTTTTCTTAAAAAATCATTTGATTATAAGTCTTTATTTCAACTGCACGATATAAATTGGACAGATGTATTAGCATACAATCCTCCAACGCTGGCTTTTAAGGTCTTTGTGTCAATTTTTAAACTTTGCCAGGGAGTTAAATTGGAGATTTCAAGCCTTAAAAAGAAGACGAAAGGTGGTGGCAACTTGCAGGTAAGATTTTACAATACTTTTTTCCCCTTTGTATTCAGATTCAGTGCAGCGGTTCATAGAACAGTTTTCTGTCTTTCTTTTCTACGACGTTTTTCTATTTATTCTAATTATATCGAAAGAAAATAAAAATTGACATGCAGTCTTGTCCGAACATCACAAAACATTTACATGTACACACATTTGTCTTTTAAATCGCTTGCAAATTAAAGCAGTGAAATTAAAAGTAGCACTTTTATTTATTATATCGGGGTCCATTTTAATTATTTCCCACATCATATATTGCCGAATCGGAAAAAATCGACACGATTTCGATGGAAAAGGAGAAGCTAAGTAATTATTTTTACTAAATTTTGCCGATCGTTGTACACATGTCCGTATTTAGTGTCCAATTGCAGCGCCATTAAATTACGTGAAACAGCCATCATTAATTTCAAAGCCTAAATATTGTTAACTGTGGAGTAAACAAGAAAATTAAGTACGTTAAAAAAGTAGAATAGCACGTCACCATGACGTCTCTTCTGTGTTTTAAATTTGCACCACTGGAGATTGAGATAACAGGAAAATTGATAATCATAGATAAATATTCACACTGCAAAAGGTTCTGGGTTGGTGTCCTTTCAAGCTTAAGATTATTTTTTTCTTGTCTCAGATTTTACGTAACTTAGTTGATCTACTATTATTGCACACGAATATGGCTTTTGCTTACAAGAATATTAATATCGTTTCATATATTCAAAATCAACTTATATAAGCTAAACAGAGTTTTACGGGCAAGGATAATCACTCTAGCGGTGTATTTTATGGGGCAAAAATCTAAACCGGTAACTGAAGAAGCAGACTTTGCTGGTTAAATACACTGTGTAGGAGGGCATTTTTTATATTTTGAAAAAAAAAAAAAAATTCAAATCCGAAATTGACATGAAATGACCTTTCTGACTCACTCTAGCTGTGTATTTTATGGGGCAAAAATATAAACCCGTAACTGAAGAAGCAGACTGTTTTCATTATTACATTGTTAGTAGGCTGTCGTCATTATTAAAATATCGCAATGTTAATCCTTTCAGTTCCTAGATCAAAACACTTGATTTTTTACAGCTACTCATTTCATTTTTTGGTTTCAATCTCTCTGAAACGCAGAGGGTAATGGTTGGAATAAAAAACGAGAGGTCGATGTCCCTTGTGTTTTGTTCTTAGACTTGACAGGCAAGTATACTTTGATGCTTGGCAACTTTTTAAATTTCTAGAATTTGTGAATGAGGTCATTTCAGTTCTCGATTGAGTTGTTCATCTCAGAACCATTTGCTGTTCACTCAATAGCAACGTCAACTTAGCTTGCTCGAAACTAGAACCAACTTACTCTAAAATAAATTTGCAAATATCAGTGTGCGCTACCTCCTTCACCTCTGGTAAACGTTGAATTTAAGGTCAACATCTTCTTCCTCAATTTTGTCCTTCGTCCTAATTCGTTTTTCCTTCATCATCTATCCCATCAATCCCTAGGTCGCAACAAGGCTTCCGTTCATTTTTCCTAAGCTTCCATTATTGCGTTTTATTAGGAGTTGAGTAAATCAACAACCTGTCGAATGAGAACAGGATATCTCTTAGATCTCCAACACCAGAATGCTCAAAGTGGTTACCACGTGCATGTAGTTTCCATCGCTTGTAGTTGATTTGCTTGGCTCATTGCAGAAATGCTGAAATCTTGATAAGTACTACGCTCGAGAGAGCAGTACCCTATATACATATTTATACCATGCCATAGAAAATACAGCCAATCAGAATACAGGAAAGCCGTTGTATATTCGATAGCATGACATGTCGCCTTTCCATCATGCGCCGCGCGTACGTCGCACTGATTGAGTTGCTCACTGTATTTTCTGTGGCGTGGTATAAAATAGTTATTCTTGTGGTATACCATGCAATATCCCATCTGTCACTTGTACATTCTTGGTATACACACTCTCCTAAAGACTTGTGTGTATCAGCGACAATACAAGTGACTAGTGGAATATCCCATGGCATACCACGAGAGCGCGTTGCATCAGTAGTATGTATCAGTTATCAAATTGACGTCAGTTTTTCATGCGGCTGTCCTGTTATTGATCATGAATTTCGTCATAACATTGTCAAAGTAGCTGCGGATCCACGAGGCAATAGCCGGTTTGACAATTCATTGTCAATAACAGGACAGACACATGAAAAACTGACTTCAATTTGTTTTTTTAAGATAACAAACTGTCAAATTGCCCGCTCTCGCTCGCTGACGCATCGCATAAATTATAATTTCACAAAAAAAAACAACAACAACAACAAATCTGCCCCAAGAACTAATGGAGTCAGGCCTGACACCTGCGGCCCACACCAAAGACACAAAGGGAAAAACACACACAGTTCTCACATGATTGATCGAGGCATGAAGATACATGTTCTGTCTCTTTATTATATACACATTCTCTTTAAAAATGGTTATAGTACATATACTACATCAGCATTTATACTACACAGTATTTACAGAAACCTTGCAGTGTATTTTGATGTGTTTGATAGGAGCTCAAGGTATTATAGAGCAATTACGGGTGGGGCCTCACTGCTGAGCAGCTCAAGAGACTCTGCCAAAAACGAGTTTTAAACACAAAATGAAACAGTAAACTATTTTTAACCTTCGTTATCAGTAATAACAAGTTTTAAACCTTAGTTGTAGTGTTAAGTTTTTAGTTTTTTTACTATAACATAATTTAGACTTTTATTTTTGAGAGGACCTTCCTGATAATCATCACTAGTTGATTGGAGGCCTCCTCTCGAAAAAAGATAATTTCTTATCATTATATTATTATTATTGAATGAACATAAGACAAGGACAATAAGGAATGCACGCCTTTGTGGTAACACAACAGATACGTTACCAAGTAAATTCGTGAAAGAACGTCAAAGTGAACGGTTGATATCTTGTTCTTTACTGGAGAGACATTTTGTGTCACTAATGGAAAAATTCAACGTACGTGAAAGAATATAAAAACTAAGTTGAGAGGCTTGATTTAAAACAAAGAATTAGCAAACAATCATGACGTCCAATGTTCTACTTGAACGTTTTAACAGACGCGAATGAGAAATTCTACTTAAAGGAGCTCAGTCCACGGTATTTTGAGTTATTTTGGCCATGTACAAAATAACATTTAAATTAAAGGAAAACTGAAAATAGTATTTTAGAAAAATACAAAAAAAAAAACAAGAAAAAAAATTTGATAAAACATGAAGTAACAAGGATGTTTAACACGGGTTAAACGACGAACTTGAAAGATTTAGGCTAAACTTTTTAGATGCGCAAACAGTGACGTAACTCCTTTAATCAATTCTTCGTTCTACTCAATTATCATAGGGAGCCAACATAATGTGGGTGAGTAGAGCGTCACTTGAAAAGAAAAGTTGGCTTTTATGAAAACACACTTTAATTTTAACGATTGCCGTTGCGGAAGGATTTTTAGCCAATCAAATTTGTCCTTGGTTATAGCGTTCACTCTGTAATTAATGTAGCCAATAATATTGTGTTGGATGACAGTAGCTGAAATAACAACATTTCAAATTAAAACGTTATTGACACAAATTTCCTACGATAGGGTCGTCGCATCGGCTTTCGGCGTTCATTTTAAAGGAAAATTGGACATGGGAGAAATCAAGTTGATTTATAACCTGGCTAAACAGTTGGATAAGAACATTTAATTCTAAGCCAATGTTTTAGGGAAAGAAACCAATCTCAAAGGAATAATTTCTTCTCCAACTAAAAGGTATGTACATTTTATTTGCCGCACTCTTAGTAAAAATTAAGATGTCCTGCGGGTATTCTAGAAACAAGAGACCTAGATACTTGAATTTAATTGGTATGCCTCCCTTTAAATTATTTTTTTTTGTCGAAGAACATATTTATTTTAGACGGGTGATATCAAAAGCATCAGTGTAACTTACGGTTTTGCATGTTAATTTGTTCATGGATTTAAGAGCTGACAAATAGACAGCTATTTCAGTTATTTTCGCATTGCTTTGTCAATCTCAGTGTCAACTGCTTTCTTGCTAATGCGAGGTGTTGAGCTGTTGGTCTTTAAGGTCAAGTGATGCTCTTGTATTGTGAAGGAAAATCAATTTACGTGGACTGCAGTCCTTTGACCATAGTACTTGATATGAAGCGGAAAAGTTTGTTCCAGGCCTCCTCTGTTTCCTTTGTCCACTGAGATTTTAGCAGATCTTTTAAAGCGTACATTAATGCTTCCTGCATTGCCTGTTGAACAACAAATTCAAAATGGAAGCCTCAAAAGGTTATTTATCATTTAGAACAATGCGGTATTTCTTTTCTAAAAATGACAAGGTTTATTTCAAACAAGATAGCTGGGAAGTGTAAATTACAACTTTGTACAATAAGGTCAAATGTGTTTTGATGTAAACATAAAGGATGAAATAGGCCTTAGCCAGGTTTTTATACGCGAAGCAAGATTTTTCTTTGTTGGTAGCCAAACTAAACTGGCAAACAAAACGAATGAGGCTGTATTTTATTTGAAAATCCCAAATTCGAATTGTTCTCCTCATTATGTGAATTTATAACACTCTGAAGCGAGTGCGTTTCTATATAACACTTTTACTTCCAGCTGCCATATGTCACATGACCATTACAGTGCGGTCCTCGGGCGCATCAGGCAGTGTCCAAACTACGCTGGAGAAAATTGAAAACGAATATCTCACTCTGAAAGCGCACCAAATGTTTTCCGTCCTAACTAAGTCCGAGGAACTTAAAAACGCAACAATCACCGGTCATTTTGGATTTGTGTTTGAGAAAAACTCGGTCAGGGAAATCACACGATTATCGCGACGCTACGTTTTCGAAAAGTTCCGTGTTCGTGACGTATTAGTGTGGACGGTAGGCCTGACCGTAGAAATATATTTGCATTTTCAAATTTCTCCAGCACAGCGTGGATGCTGTTTAAGGCTAACAGAGGTAGCGTTACTTTGCGGGGATCCTAATTAACGGAAGGCGCATGATGAAAAATTATTCATGTTTGTAGGTTGTTATTCGTATGAACTGTGTTCAGATCTGGTTTTTGGTTTTCTTTTTTAAGGAAACTAAAATTAGAATCAACAAATTTTTAGAAACGGATTTCACTAAAAAAAGTTAGCGTTAAAAAGCAACGTCGTTTCGACCGCTCGACGGTCATTTTCAAGTTGAAAAGTAAAAGTTTTGCATGTGCCCAAATACATACAATCGATTGTATATATTTGGGCGCATGCAAAACTTTTACTTTTCAACTTGAAAAAGACCGTCGAGCGGTGGAAACGTCGTTGCTTTTTAACGTTAACTTTTTTAGTGAAATTACAATTATTTTATTAAATACAGGATAGTTCTAAATTTGAATATACGATTGCTACGAAAACATCGTGATCCTTATGACGACTTATGACGTGTCATATTAAATCGTTCTTAGATAAAATTTAGGAGAGTCACCATATTCTGAGTTCATTAACAGTAAAAGAAGGTTTTTGAAAATTAACTGTTACTTAACAACACGCCAGTCAAACTGGCACATGCTCACACAGTCGTCACTGCATAGAGGCATATATGTATATATAACTCCACCCCTGACCTTAGAATCATATTCATAATAAGGACATTTAAGTGTTCCTTACATCAAGGTACGCTGGTTTCAATGCACGGGCCTTATGCCTCCTTCCCAGTTCCTCTAGGTAACCAGCAAAGCTAACTGCATCATCCAATGAGGACACAGCATTCTCTACAGCTTTCATGACGCGTTTAGCGTGACCATACAGCGCACTCGTGTTTTCAAGTTCTGACGGGTCGACGTCTTTGAACTCTGGGAACAATCTTTGGTAGTCGGGATTTAAATCGAAAAATCTGAAAATGCGAAAAGAAAACCAGAAAATCATATCTAGACATTGATATATTTAGGTTACACTGCAACTACTCGAATCGGGAACGGCCTTATGCGCCTACTGGCCCCTTGAGAACTGATGATGACTCGAATCGGGCCACTTAGAAAAGAGTAAACCAATCAGAACGCTACTCGAGAACAAAGGACTGCAACCTTTTTCTCAATTAAACCAATAACATTGAAGAATACGAGCAACAGTTCTTAACAGAAAATCCAACAAAGTGTGAAGTGTTGCGAACCTCTCAGGAAACTCTGCCTTTTGTTGATTGGCTAGTTTCGATCATATATTTTGTGCGCTTTTCAACGGTTTTGGTTTAGTTGTCGCAAAATGAGTTTTCAAGCTAAATTTTTCAAGCGAGATTTGTAATTATGATAATTCGCCGTCAAGTACTGAATCTTTAAGAGTGTATATAACGCAGAGGAGTCGATAGTAATTGATCGATAATCCGGGATGGAATGGAATATGTTACGCGCCTAAGCCTACAAGTTCTAGTCAGCTTATTATATGACCTGCTTGCAGCTGCACCAAGAGAAAATTCAAAACATTGCGATTGAGATATGCTTAGTCTTCCCAACAATGAATTGTCAAATTATCACCTTGATGAAATCGTAAAAACAAGTACAACTGGATGAGCCAAAAATAACATGAATATTTATTGCTAAAAGCATAACCTCAGTAACACGACAAGCCATTAAGTAGTACTCTGCGCAGAGATATTAAAGCAAACCGCCCCTTAAGCATTAAATTCAAAGTACATTTTCCTGTCAAGAGCAATTACCCAGAGGTGAAATGTTATCAGTACATCCTATCAATCTGAATTTCAAGTGACTTCATAACAATAACAATAACAATAACAATAGATTTCATGTCATAGCAGCAACGCAGGCGACAGTACTTTAAGTGATTTTTTCGGTAAATAATTTAAAATACTATCAAGTTTCATCGTGTATTTGTCGCGGGTGTTAAGTAAAATATAAACAGTGATTAATTAATCTGCCGTGAAATGAGTGTTTCGTGCAAATCAAAGAGGACTATTTTAGTCATGGTATAATTATTTTTCACTAAAAAACACTCTTTTTAATATAAAGCAAGTCCTTAGTTTAAACTGCGATGTTCAAACTAGAAAAGGTAAAGTATGCATCCTTTATAAACATTTTAGCAGGGTTTACCAACAACAAATGGGAACAATGTAACATAATGTAGAGAGTTGGTAAGAGACTATCTGCAGGGATTTCACTGTTAAAGATTTACAGGGAAATTTTACTTTTTATTTAAATAAAAAATTTAAGGTACCAGGTTAAACACTCTTCTGCCAAAATCTGGAATCTGTACCCGACGCTAGAAAACAACAATTTGCATTTTTACTTCTCTTGCGTCGGACTACAAGACTGCATCCTAAGGAAAGTTTGCAGACGAACGTATTGAAATGAAATTTCCACTTCGCGTTTCACAGTACGGTCAAAATTGCAATGCTGAAATTTCATCCGTATTTACCAGATCCAGACTACAAAATAACAGGGAAACTAAATTGTATTAAAGTGTCTGAAAATCAAAACTAAATAAAAACCCAAAACGGTCTCTGCATTTCGCGTTATTTTCGGTATCGTGCATCTTACCACATGCTTCAAACACAAAAGTTTTCTTTTTTGTATTTATCTCAGCATGTAGGGTCTTCTAATAACTAGAAAAGGTCACACCAAGCGTATTCAGCTGGGAGGTGAATTTTACTGAACTATTAGTGACTTTCGATCTAAAACAGACGAGGTAATGGCCAATGAAGCTAGGATCGATGTTCGAAAAGTTTAACATTACTTCTTACTTTTAATAACGGGTTGGGTCAGTTAAAGCTTAGTTTTCGTGAATGAAAAAAATGTAAATAAATGTTTGTTATGACTTTGTTAGGCAACGGGATATAAGCATTGTGCTCATTTTAAATTCAAACGATCTAAACGGCATGCTTTTGTTATATTTGCACACACCTGCGTAAGGAGACAATATACTCGTGCCTTTGTTTGTCTCTCAAAAATGATCCATATTCAATGCTTTCAACTTCAGTGAAGACTGAATGAATAGAGTTATAAGTTGAAAGATTATTGTACGTCCATAACCGTCTTATTTTACCTTTAAAATTTACCAAGGCCTCGGAAAAGAATTTCAGTAACAGTAACAATTTTTATTATATGCGGTGAAGCATGCGGCCGCCATCTTTGCTGCTACTGAAATATGATTGGAACCGAAAAGTGTTTCGGGCGAGTAAATTGAATAAGCCTTCTCGTTTGAAAGAAGGATTTCAAGATCCTTGCTCGGTAAGTTCTAATTATTCATAACCGAAATTAATCCACTCTAGTGTACTGTTGTTTTTTATCATTATTCGAAAGGAATTATCATCGAAGTTTAGTTTCCATGAAATATAACAAAAACAGCAGAAAAAGCTGAGATGTAGGAATTACTATTCAGTGAAAAAAGTTAAATAATGAACGAAAAAAACAAAGTCGTTCTAGCAATTGAGTAAACGATGAAAAAAAAAAAACTGTTTACCTTAGAAACGTCTTCTTTCCAACAGCGTTTCTATGTTGTTCTACAGTTTCCCATGTCTCTCGAACAAGAGATTTTTGAGTCTCCGATAGAGGTAATGAGATATGTGCCGGTTTTCGCGGGCCAAGAGACGACGAACAGCCCATAGTGTCTGGAAGGCAATGCGAGAGTCCCTTAGATTGTCAGGTTGTTCAGGGTAGTGAAGGAAGTTGACACAACATATGTAAACGAGTTTGTTTCGCCGCCCGCGTGCACTTTTTGGCACCTTTGAATGTGAACACCATCAATTAAAGACTTGAACTTGTAACATTTGTACTTCCTATCTCAATTTGGAACATTTCTTAATAACTTTCTCCAACCCACTTTTTCATTGCTCGGATTAATAAAAGAATAACTCTAATGCGACCCTACCAAAAGAAAGAAAGGTTTTTTTCTTTTAAAATATTCAATTCAAATATTCTTGGCGTGCGAAAGAACATATTTGGTCGGTGGCGAGGCTGCTTGTTGATTTGCATGTTGCCGTCGGGTTATACGAAAGGAACATGTGTTGTTTATACGGTGCAGCTTTCATTTGGTGGCGGAAAGATCGTTAAAACATTTAGGCAAACGCAAGGAAATTGTGAGTATTTCTGGCATCCAGGGAAGAAAAGATCCCTCGATTACAACCATGGTAAAAAGATCAAGTCGAGAAATTTCAGGAAAGTTTGTTTCAGTTATTGTTATGATGAAAGCTTGTGGTTAGTTTTGTTAATGGATCACCTCCAAGGGTTGTAAATTAGCATATTTCATTTAGTTTTGCTATCTTTAATATTCATGAAAACAGTTTTTGACATCCTTGTCAAGTAAAAGTAAAGCAAAATACGACGTTTCAGCCAACATTGAGTAAACGTTGCGGTAGAAGCTAATATTAGCTCCATGTTAGAGGGTAATTTTAGCTCGCTATAGGTCAAGTAAGAAAAATAAAAAAAATAGGCTGTTTGATTATTTTCAGCTCAAGTTGCAAGTCGAAAAATAATTATCAGCAGTGTTGTCTAGAAATATTCGTCTCGGGCTGAAATGAGTGATCCGCGCGTAGACCTCAGTTTTTGGTTTCTATTTAATCATATCTTCGAGCTCTAGCGAGTCAAGTTACTCAATGAGCATTTTCAATTCGGGCTGATATGATACGATACTACACAATTAAAATTTCTAGTTTTCAGTTTATATCAGTTTCAGCCAAACTGCTGATTCACAACACAATCATAATTCTACCCTTCAGTGTTTTCCTAGTTAACAAGTTAAGGTCGATTTTAAATAATGATGGTGTTGTCATAAAACAAAATGGGCATTTGAGACAAAAAGAGAAATGTAGATATCGAGGGGATTCCTTTAATACTTCTGAAAATAAAAAAAACTTTAAAATTGCTTCCTCTGTTCATATCAGCGTTTGAGCTGTTTATAAGAGCCATGAAGAGGTCTCGATTCCGTTCATATATGTGATCTTGTCACATATGCTAACTGAGCAGATACAAATTGCAGTTTGTTTTATAATGTTCTTATGTACTTCATGCAAATACCACGACAATGTCTGACGGGTATATTTTTAAGTGAATTTCCTGTTGTATGTCTCAAACATTCGCGTCTGCGTGCAGTTTTTTGATTAAAAAAAAAAAAACGTTAGCGGTGGTTTTTGCCTTGAAATTAACCAAGAAATTTTAAAATAGGCGACCAGCTATAGTCTGAGACGCATTCTAGAAAACTCTGTTGTTGCTGAATTATTAAGCAAGTCGCCCTGCTGGATCGAATCACACTAAATTCAACTTCAATAAACATGTTAATTCACTATAAGTTATTACGAATGTAAGAAGATCATGATAGTAATTAGTCGAAGAAAGACTCTTAAGAGTGCATGATTAATGGACCTGTTTAACTATAGGATCCCACGCATGAGCACGTCTCCTTATGTAAATCAACACACGGAAAAGAACCTAACCTGTGAAACACAGACACAAACCTTAGAACGTTTAAAATATATCGCCAATATTCACCTTTCACAAGCATTTTCATCGGTCGAACTAAGGAACTGGTAGGTTTATTTATTTATTTTTTGTTTGCATTGAGCTTTGTAAGCCGTTATTCACATTCACTTTGATCCTGCAGTTAACATCAACTGATAACGACTTTTCAAGTTATCGCTTTTTATCATAGCAAGTTTACTACGACAAACTTTGAAAAGAATGTCAGGTTTATACTCTGGACTGGATATTTTGGTTATTGCATGTCATGTCCTCATATCCAATAAGAACTTAATCTTGTGTGAAATAAGTTTCCTTCAGTTATTTTTGGCTGAGGTAGAAGACAGCTTGATAATGACTTCCCGTGTCCATCTGTTTGTTGACAGGAAGTCTATCTATCAGGCCAAGAGAGGGTAAACTAGTATTTTCTTTAGTCTGTGAGTTCACAATAATGCACCTCTATGTTGACATCAATGACTTTCAGCAGTGAAAAGTAAAGCATCGATCAACGCTTGTCTCGTTACCCGTTCATCTCAACCCTTATCTTTAATTTCGTCTCCTTCTATGTAACTTTGCTCTCGAGACAGTTTTCTGGTATTTTTATTTCGATTTAGCTGAATCTCGATTTTTCCAAAATTCAACCTAAAATTCAATCTCTCGGAAATTTAAAGTTTACATCGCAACAACTATGTTTTTCAAGTTTTGAATTTTTCCAGCCTCCCGATTATTCGAACCTAAAATTCATCCTCCCAGAAATTTGAAGTTCCCATGGCGACAAGTATGTTTTTCAAATTATAATATTTTAAAGTAAACATTTTTAATTTCTTGCGGTAACTTGAACGTTTTAGACAAAGTTAGCAGTCATTATCGGTTGTGACTGTTTTTCAGCTATGTATGGTTGTTTTCTAACGTTTTGTAAAGAACAGGAAATCCAAAATGGTGCATGGCTGGCTGGTGATAATGTCGTCATTTCTATGTGATATGACGTTATCGTCCCATAAAATTGAACTCAACCAGCAGGCGTATTTTTAGGCGTGTAAAACACCTCGCGAGTGTCAAACACACTAGGAGGTACAGGATGTGGGCCTCAAGCCCCCGCGATCCCGAGTCCTCTGATAGTGGTTTCTTTATTTATTCCATACTGTTATTTACTTTGGTTGTTGTTTATTCATCAGACAAGTCAGATACTTTTCACTGAAGTCGCCACTTTTTAAGGTCGCTCACTGGATTTGCTGAGCACAGTAACATTTTATCACTGCTGTTAGAGAAACCAAAGTTTTCATGAGTCAAATCATTATTGTAAGGATATACGTCAGGACATGTGTTACCGTAACCACGGAACAGGCTTTTAATGTTAACCGTAAAACAGGCTAAGCTGAACATTATTCAAGCTAAACAGGGCGCTATTGAAGCGCCGCACCGCGCCGCGCACTTAAAAGATGTAATCTTTCTCTTTAGCATTAAGGCGGCTTAAAACGGCAGTTTTCTTAGGAAGCATGAACAAGAAGAGTCAATTTTATTATTATTTTCGAATAAATACTTGCAATTAACACACCATTAGTTCATTATTGAATGACCCGGGATGATTCATGTAAATTTATTTTCTCTTGGTAAAATCCTCAAGTGTTACCACTCGAATATATGCCGGTAAAAGTTATTGTTTGATCAGTACCATCATCGAATAGCTTCCGATTACTTACATTGAGAAAAGGGCCTTACTTACAGTACTTTCATGTGGTAGTTTATATTATGCTGTACAAGGTGGTTCTAGCTTTTAAGTCTGTGGTTAAAACCCTAGTGTGTGAACATTCAAATGAAAGCTACTAAGCAGTACTTTCATGTGGTACTGTTTATTATGCTGTACAAGGTGGATCAAACTTTCAAGTCTGTGGTTAAAACCCTAGTGTGTGACCATTCAAACGAAAGCTACTGAGCAACACTCTCACGTGGTACTGTTTACTATGCTGTACAAGGTGGTTCTAATTTTAGGTCTGTGGTTAAAACCCTAGTGTGTTACCAGTCAAATGAAGGTCATTGAGCAGTACTTTTATGAGGTACTCTTTAAGTGGTTCTAAATTGTCATCCTGTACTGATGAATTCGTCTAATGTGATGATGATAACAAACTAGATATTTGAAAGCAATTGAGTAGAACTCGCCGTAGTGCTCAGTGTTCGTATTTGAATTTTTTTTCGTAAGTGAAATTATTTAGAAATTCGTCAATAGGTAGGCGAAATGAAATCTATTGTAATGTGGCCAAGGAAGAGTTTCCACTCGTCTACTTTCAAAACTGCAACTAATTGTTTAAAATAAAGTTGTTTTTATAAAAAAAAAAAAGCACTTAGCCTTTTTGACCTTTCCAGTTGCAACCCTACCAATGTACCTGTTGTAATATTTCAATTTACATGTTCGTTTTCAGCAATCAGTGTCAATCATTTTACAGTGCACCTTTAAATGCGTTAATCTCCCCGCACAAAAGCAATTTTGTAGTGTATTGAATAAAAGTGGTGTCAAACACATGTCATGAAATGAAAACGTTGTCAATCTGCCAAGGCGATCGATATTTTCTTGGCAGACATCGTTTTTCAGTTTAGCTTCTTAAACTTCACACAGGTGTCCTCGGTTGGTAACTAACATGGGCTGTGGATCGTCCACCCACAAACCCACAGAGAAATCCGCCGTGATCCCTCTTACTCCAGCTCAAAAATACCTGGTTAGAGAAACATGGGAGACCATCGAACTTCACAAGAATTCTGTTGGCAAGAAAACGTTCTTGAGGTTAGTAAAGTGCGCTTGGTGTCACTGAAGTGTCACTTCTTAGACGACTTCTCTGTCGGCAGTTTTCCATGAAACAAATATTTTCATGACATAGAAGTGCTTCTTGGTGAATAATACCGCTACGAGAAGCCTTGAACGGATATATAATCCATTTCAGCTCCAATAATTAATGTAACCATTGTCGTTCACATTATTCATATCAGGGTTTAAGATGCCAAAACTCTGATATGCGACACTGAAGCCAAGGCGAAGTGACGCACCATAATTTATAATAAAAACAAGAACTTGCCTCCTGTGTAGTGTAAGCAAGCAAGCAAAGGAACAATTTTGTTCAAGATCCTCTTACGGTGCATTAATGATTTCGATGAACATCAAACAACTCGGCGTAATGCTTAGATTATAATTAAGCGATTTTCGTCGCTTGTAATTTAGTTTAATGTTTTTGCAAGTCACCGACGTTTGTATTGTACCTGTCACTTTGACTCTTGCATCCTTTTCGCTGTACGATGAACTACGCTATGGGCTCCTGACGTCGAAAATTTCTCGCCTTTGCTGCTCAGTTTTGGGGATTGATTTTCTATCCTTTTCACGGTTCTCACAAACGCGAAAACGTGAAAATTAACAGCACTGCTTCAAAAAAACGTTTGACCATAGGTTGAAGAGATTTTTCGTTTCCCGCGTTTCGGATTTGAAGTAATTACAGCAGCTAGTACAGTTAAAAACATTTACTCTAACCTTCTCACTTACGTAGGAAATTAAACGAAATATTTGTTGATCCCTTTTTTTTTGAAAAATTTCTGTCGCGTGTTGCCATGTGAAATTTACGTGTTATCTGCATAGCAAAATAAACCGATACCCGAGTAAGACAATGAAGTACGGCGTATTTTCGGCAACACGGTCAATCGTAATTCAAACAATGCATGACTAATGTACTAGGGAATGAAGGCCTTCCGATTATCAAAACGACATCACGTGGAGAATTATAACAAGAAAGCACAGTATTAACTTTCACTTCAATCACTCGCTACTCTTGACTTGCTACTTTCTGCATTGTACCTCCTGTACTGCCGGAGACTTAAAAAAAAAGAATGTTTCCAATTTTGATTACTTGAGAGCCAACTGTCAAATATCAAATGTCTCTCTTGTTGTCAGAGATGCGAATTCTGTTTTTTACAGCTGGAAAAAGTTATTTGCATCTCTTCCCTGAAAAGGCAAGTGCTTGTTCAAACAAAAAGGGTTTTAGTAATGGCGAATTGTGCCATTTCTCTCTTTTAAGTGTCAATCTACGTCAACAAAAATAACATTTTATCCCAACACGTGGGTGGTCTCTTTTTTCATGATGCTTTGAGCAAACGAAGCTTGTCTTCTGGCCAAAAAAACTGAAACCCACAAACTCTATTTTCTGCTGTTTAAATATGCAAGGAAAAGAGACATAAACTATGGAAAAATTGTATTTCTCTTTCTCCAAAAACGGCTGATTGACACCGTGAAACATAGCTGCTAGTAAAATGCAAATCGTCTCAGGTGTGTTTGGTTGTTAGTGACGATAAAAAAAAATTGTTTTTCAAACAAATTACATTTCTGCAGATACAGAAATTCAACAAGGGCTGATTTTTATGGCCGGAAATCAAATGAAACGATTATTCTCGCTGGGAAATTTACGGGCAAGGGGCAATGTCTTCCAAGTCGATTTCTCGCTTTTACCGAAATGATCGAAAATTTCTCAGCATTCTGTTTTGATCGTAACAAGTTCTTTAGTCATGTATGTCTTTCATTGTTTTGCAAGAAAACTGCGGTTTATAGACGACGAGGAATTTGAGAGCTTGTATTGCTGTAAATACGATAATTGTTCTAGGGTCTGGGAAATATCTGTATCTCGAAAATAGAAGCAAGCAAGTTTCTTTATAAAGAGCAATAAAAAGCGGTCTTAATATCTCATTGGAATCCAAAAACTCCACGACGGGGTTAAGACTCATGAACGCATAAACCATGGTTGCCACAGAAACTTACAATTATCTGAGGAAAAACTTTCATATACAAAAAAAGTGTTCCTCGATTAACCTTTGACGAAGGCTTAATATATTGTGGTTAGCATCGCTGAAATTAATCTTATACACACCAGCATGTTAAACACACCAGCATGTTAAACACACCAGCATGTTAAACACGGTTAACAATTAGTTGCTCATACTGTGCACACCCACAACTTTTCAAGTTTAAAGCCCGTTTAATTTAAATATGTTGGCAAGGTGGTTTCAAATTCGTCTTCTCAAAATGATTGCAAAGCGTAATCGACAAACTAGAAAACCTACAACTGATTTAGTGAAACTAGTTTAATTGGTGTGAACGGGGCATTAGGTAATTTATAGGGTAATTCTCATAGAACAGCGACAACAACAATTTATCCATTTACCTATGAAATTACCTCATATAACAAAATAAGTGAACAAGAAGAGTGAGTACTTTATGCCTCCCAACCCTCGTGCCCAAAGAGGGTTAACCTTGAAATCGTTTATCCTTCAAACAGATTCTTTGAAAAAAATCCCGAATACCAGAAGCTATTCCCAGAGTTTAAAGATGTACCCCCAGAGGAACTGGAGAAGACAAACGCCTTATATGGGCATACTAAACGAGTGATGAAAGCAGTGGAAAACGCTGTGTCCGCTTTAGATGACGCTGAGAGTTTTAGCGCGTACTTAGATGAATTGGGACGGAGACACAAAACGCGTTCTTTGAGACCTACGCACCTTGAGGTAAACACAGTTAATAGAGGGTAATGGTTAAGAAGTCCGATAAAAATCAAAGACGCACACGAACAGGCTAAGATTTATGTTGGAAGGTCCTTGACCCTGCACATCGTTTGTTTTATGTTCGTAGACTATGTGTGATCAATTGAATGTTCGCAATGCTTCTACTGGTTAATTGTGTACATATGAGCACACGTAACCACCTTTTGTATTTTGCAAGGTTTTGTGCAAGGTCAACCCCCAAAATAGCCAACAAAAACTTACAACAAAGAACTTTGTCTCATAAATATTTCCCTCTATTAACTAGTAATAAAGTAAACAAAGACATTTTGTTCACAGGCCATGCAGGATGCCTTGATGTTTACTCTTCAAGATCTTCTCAAGTCCAGCTGGACTGATGAAACATCAGATGCCTGGAAAAAGCTTTTCCACTTCATCATCGATCACATGATCTATGGCTTACAGTCATGATCAAGGCTAGCAAAGAAAATGCATGTCAACATTAAACTGACTGCGCCTCTGAGTACAACTTAAATAGCACGACACTAAATAACTCTCTACCTTATGGTAAATCTATAAACACTAGAGAAGATCACGTTTACGTGGTTAGTCCTTGAGCTAATTTAGTGTCACGCCTTCCTTGGTCTGTCAGGTCCATTTCGTTAATCTAATTAAACAAGTTGCTTACTTTATCTCACAATATAACAGCAGCTGGACAAAGAATCTTCCATTAAGTTCCCTATTAGTACTAAAGGATTTCTGTAATCACGTCTTGTAAAACAAGGTCGATGGCCGAATTTTAAAACAAATCTGGTCTATAGTTCATGTTATCGTGTGACAAAGTTAAACTAAATCTTCGTCGTTCAAAGAAAGTGTTAACCTTCGAAAATTGTGGTACATGTAGTACTTTTACCGCCCCAATAGACACAAAAAAACAAAAGCCGAAAGCCACCAGAATGAAATATTTTTCATATAAAATTTTAGGTTTTATGTTGCCGCCATTTTGCTCCTCCCCACAAAGCAGAAGAGGTTGCGCGACAGAGGGTGCTTTTCATTCAAACCAAAACCCCGGAACTTTCAAAATGAAAGCAAATGGTGCGAAATTTTCTTTGGCAAGTTTACGGAAAATCCGAAAAATGTTTAATTTCCGGAATGCGAACCATTCAACCGAAAACTCCAGGATGAAAATCAAATAGAGTCGAAATTTTCGGTAAGAAATTTCCAAAGATTTCGGTATACCCCCGAAAATTTAAACCGGAATTTATCATCGAATGGAAGGCGCCCAAGGCTGTTCTCTTTCCCTGAAAATTGTTAAAAATACTGTTCATTTCGCCAACGGAAATTTCCGGAAATGCAAACCGAAATGTTTGGTTGAATGGAAAGCACCCAGCGGACTTTCTGACGTGTTGTAAATAGATTTGGCTTAGAAAGTCTATACAAATAATTTAAATGTTTTTTGTACAATTTATTTAATTTTGTGCACAAGTATAGCATAACGCTATTATGGTTTTCTGTTGTTTTTGAAAAGAAACGTTTATTATATTACTAGTAATTTTATGNTGTTATCTGCATAGCAAAATAAACCGATACCCGAGTAAGACAATGAAGTACGGCGTATTTTCGGCAACACGGTCAATCGTAATTCAAACAATGCATGACTAATGTACTAGGGAATGAAGGCCTTCCGATTATCAAAACGACATCACGTGGAGAATTATAACAAGAAAGCACAGTATTAACTTTCACTTCAATCACTCGCTACTCTTGACTTGCTACTTTCTGCATTGTACCTCCTGTACTGCCGGAGACTTAAAAAAAAAGAATGTTTCCAATTTTGATTACTTGAGAGCCAACTGTCAAATATCAAATGTCTCTCTTGTTGTCAGAGATGCGAATTCTGTTTTTTACAGCTGGAAAAAGTTATTTGCATCTCTTCCCTGAAAAGGCAAGTGCTTGTTCAAACAAAAAGGGTTTTAGTAATGGCGAATTGTGCCATTTCTCTCTTTTAAGTGTCAATCTACGTCAACAAAAATAACATTTTATCCCAACACGTGGGTGGTCTCTTTTTTCATGATGCTTTGAGCAAACGAAGCTTGTCTTCTGGCCAAAAAAACTGAAACCCACAAACTCTATTTTCTGCTGTTTAAATATGCAAGGAAAAGAGACATAAACTATGGAAAAATTGTATTTCTCTTTCTCCAAAAACGGCTGATTGACACCGTGAAACATAGCTGCTAGTAAAATGCAAATCGTCTCAGGTGTGTTTGGTTGTTAGTGACGATAAAAAAAAATTGTTTTTCAAACAAATTACATTTCTGCAGATACAGAAATTCAACAAGGGCTGATTTTTATGGCCGGAAATCAAATGAAACGATTATTCTCGCTGGGAAATTTACGGGCAAGGGGCAATGTCTTCCAAGTCGATTTCTCGCTTTTACCGAAATGATCGAAAATTTCTCAGCATTCTGTTTTGATCGTAACAAGTTCTTTAGTCATGTATGTCTTTCATTGTTTTGCAAGAAAACTGCGGTTTATAGACGACGAGGAATTTGAGAGCTTGTATTGCTGTAAATACGATAATTGTTCTAGGGTCTGGGAAATATCTGTATCTCGAAAATAGAAGCAAGCAAGTTTCTTTATAAAGAGCAATAAAAAGCGGTCTTAATATCTCATTGGAATCCAAAAACTCCACGACGGGGTTAAGACTCATGAACGCATAAACCATGGTTGCCACAGAAACTTACAATTATCTGAGGAAAAACTTTCATATACAAAAAAAGTGTTCCTCGATTAACCTTTGACGAAGGCTTAATATATTGTGGTTAGCATCGCTGAAATTAATCTTATACACACCAGCATGTTAAACACACCAGCATGTTAAACACACCAGCATGTTAAACACGGTTAACAATTAGTTGCTCATACTGTGCACACCCACAACTTTTCAAGTTTAAAGCCCGTTTAATTTAAATATGTTGGCAAGGTGGTTTCAAATTCGTCTTCTCAAAATGATTGCAAAGCGTAATCGACAAACTAGAAAACCTACAACTGATTTAGTGAAACTAGTTTAATTGGTGTGAACGGGGCATTAGGTAATTTATAGGGTAATTCTCATAGAACAGCGACAACAACAATTTATCCATTTACCTATGAAATTACCTCATATAACAAAATAAGTGAACAAGAAGAGTGAGTACTTTATGCCTCCCAACCCTCGTGCCCAAAGAGGGTTAACCTTGAAATCGTTTATCCTTCAAACAGATTCTTTGAAAAAAATCCCGAATACCAGAAGCTATTCCCAGAGTTTAAAGATGTACCCCCAGAGGAACTGGAGAAGACAAACGCCTTATATGGGCATACTAAACGAGTGATGAAAGCAGTGGAAAACGCTGTGTCCGCTTTAGATGACGCTGAGAGTTTTAGCGCGTACTTAGATGAATTGGGACGGAGACACAAAACGCGTTCTTTGAGACCTACGCACCTTGAGGTAAACACAGTTAATAGAGGGTAATGGTTAAGAAGTCCGATAAAAATCAAAGACGCACACGAACAGGCTAAGATTTATGTTGGAAGGTCCTTGACCCTGCACATCGTTTGTTTTATGTTCGTAGACTATGTGTGATCAATTGAATGTTCGCAATGCTTCTACTGGTTAATTGTGTACATATGAGCACACGTAACCACCTTTTGTATTTTGCAAGGTTTTGTGCAAGGTCAACCCCCAAAATAGCCAACAAAAACTTACAACAAAGAACTTTGTCTCATAAATATTTCCCTCTATTAACTAGTAATAAAGTAAACAAAGACATTTTGTTCACAGGCCATGCAGGATGCCTTGATGTTTACTCTTCAAGATCTTCTCAAGTCCAGCTGGACTGATGAAACATCAGATGCCTGGAAAAAGCTTTTCCACTTCATCATCGATCACATGATCTATGGCTTACAGTCATGATCAAGGCTAGCAAAGAAAATGCATGTCAACATTAAACTGACTGCGCCTCTGAGTACAACTTAAATAGCACGACACTAAATAACTCTCTACCTTATGGTAAATCTATAAACACTAGAGAAGATCACGTTTACGTGGTTAGTCCTTGAGCTAATTTAGTGTCACGCCTTCCTTGGTCTGTCAGGTCCATTTCGTTAATCTAATTAAACAAGTTGCTTACTTTATCTCACAATATAACAGCAGCTGGACAAAGAATCTTCCATTAAGTTCCCTATTAGTACTAAAGGATTTCTGTAATCACGTCTTGTAAAACAAGGTCGATGGCCGAATTTTAAAACAAATCTGGTCTATAGTTCATGTTATCGTGTGACAAAGTTAAACTAAATCTTCGTCGTTCAAAGAAAGTGTTAACCTTCGAAAATTGTGGTACATGTAGTACTTTTACCGCCCCAATAGACACAAAAAAACAAAAGCCGAAAGCCACCAGAATGAAATATTTTTCATATAAAATTTTAGGTTTTATGTTGCCGCCATTTTGCTCCTCCCCACAAAGCAGAAGAGGTTGCGCGACAGAGGGTGCTTTTCATTCAAACCAAAACCCCGGAACTTTCAAAATGAAAGCAAATGGTGCGAAATTTTCTTTGGCAAGTTTACGGAAAATCCGAAAAATGTTTAATTTCCGGAATGCGAACCATTCAACCGAAAACTCCAGGATGAAAATCAAATAGAGTCGAAATTTTCGGTAAGAAATTTCCAAAGATTTCGGTATACCCCCGAAAATTTAAACCGGAATTTATCATCGAATGGAAGGCGCCCAAGGCTGTTCTCTTTCCCTGAAAATTGTTAAAAATACTGTTCATTTCGCCAACGGAAATTTCCGGAAATGCAAACCGAAATGTTTGGTTGAATGGAAAGCACCCAGCGGACTTTCTGACGTGTTGTAAATAGATTTGGCTTAGAAAGTCTATACAAATAATTTAAATGTTTTTTGTACAATTTATTTAATTTTGTGCACAAGTATAGCATAACGCTATTATGGTTTTCTGTTGTTTTTGAAAAGAAACGTTTATTATATTACTAGTAATTTTATGTTGCTGCTGCCGGGCCAAGTATTTTTTATAGCGTATAATATAATGTTAATACTATTCAAATCCACGATAAAACCACTTCTTCGACTTAGATTCGATTATAATATCATGCGGCATCCAATGTTATGGAATTTGATGTAAATAACTTTTTTGTGTAAATAAATTGACAAACACTCTTTCACTGAAAAACTTGAATGCACAGCTCCGTTTGATCTTGTGTACTCAATGCGAACTGATTATACTACCTTCTCTGATGTATTCGGAGCCGAGGTCTCTTGTGATACATCTTGAAATTTTTCAATCCTTCAGTGTAATCTGACAGTTAAACATGGATCCAAAGCGTACGCGAGAATTGGCTTGAGGCTTTGAATATAATCTTTGGGATAAGGCATCGAAGTCCGACAAAATTTCTTAGTTGCGCCTATATAAAACTGTAAACAGTAAACACGTACAATAGAGGAATGCACCAAGGTGGATCGTTTTTACCCCAAAAGTTCTGTTTAATAATAACTTCGTTTGCAAAGCGCTATTCCTACCTACATGGCGCTTTACAAAGCTAGAATTGCATTAAACTATAGAATCAGTAATGACATGTACATACAAAAAGAACAAGGTTTGAAAACTAAGTACAGTTCGAAAATGTTAACAATGTCTACAAAAACAGTGAGTAGCTCTCTACAAATAGTTTAGAGAGGTATGTTTGAAGGCCCCTTTTGAAGCTCTCGATCAGACTTCGACTTGCGCAAGGCAAGTGGCAGATTGTTCCATTATCTTGGGGCACATACACTAGATGCCCTGTCACCACAGGTTTTTGTGAAAGACCTCGGCTGATCTAACAGTTCACTGGTCGGCAGATCTCAAAGATCAAGAGTAAGAGCGATAGTAAAGCCTGTTTGTCGTACCTTGTTCTGGGTTACTCTTGAAGCATTTCTTACATAACCAAACAAACGAGAGAGAAAACGACTGGATCAAATTCTGATTCTGATATGTTGCGAGACTTAAATCTGAACGTGACAAAATTCATGGGCCTGCGCAGTCACCTACTTAGTAACGCAATGTTAATTCTTGATTGAAGAAAGGAAAAAGAGCGATCTGGCTGGACTTCAGGCACTTTTTTGGAAAGAGAGAAAAGGATAACAAATTACAAAGGAAGAAAAAAAAAGAGAATATTTCGGAGTGAAGAGAAGTCAGTAACCGTCGATAAAGCTGCTTTTGTCGCTGTCTTCAATTTCGAATTCGACAGGTAATGATCCATATCAATACGACTTCGGTGAAAAATCGCGAACGTTTGGCGTTACGTTTCGGCGAAGAATCGCGAAGAAACTGTAAAAGATTCGAAATAGTGCAGCGTTTCAAAACTGAAAAAGTAGCTGATTAGAAGCCTTATATGCCGCAATCCAAAGGTTCTCGAATAATGGTTCATAGAAGCAAACTTCATTACACCAAACTTTATCAAATCACAACTGGAAAAAGTAGTGCTTTATTGCAGCAAGTATTATCAGATATTTACAATCCCTTCTCTGCTGAACATTTTAGTCAGATTGCATTCCAATAAAAATAGCCTGCTCTTGAAATCACATCACGCTGATGTTACCGCGCTGATAAATATATACAAATAAATAGGGGCACTCAGCTTCGAATGGTACTTTTGAGTAGAATTTTCCTTTCATCGGTAGTGTCTCAGCAATGTTCGCCGTTGAGAAGGGATTTTATTTACACAGAAACATTATATGATTATAGAATTATGCCTATAACAGCCAGCCACGTGACATGAAGTGTCCGCTATGAGACTAAGTATTGTTGTAAACTCACGAACAAGAAATGTAAACAAGTAAAGAAAGCGGTCGAACAAGACCGATTATCGTGCTCATTGACTACGGTCCGGTGGCCCAAACAGTCGCCACACCATGGAAATATAAGGTGAAACATTCGACTTCGTCTAAGGAGGGTATTTTCAAAATTCTGCTTAAACGCTATAAAAAAACATCAAAATTCAGTCTTGTTCGTATCTGATTCAACATTGATACACGTGGAAGGGCGATCTAAGTGTCATTAAGTCCTATGATCATTGCTTCGGACATGTATCGAAATAACGCGCTCCACGATTCCGATGTTTCTGTAGTCCAGTCCGACTGGAAAACGTCCTTTAAGGAAAACATGAGGGCTTCGTGTATCACCTAAAAACGAAAAAAAGGTCCAAAATTGTTAAAAAGAGGTGAAATAACTTCATTAACATATCAATTATTAACATAAGACAGAAAAAGAGGGAAGAATGAGGAAATATTGGTTGTTTTCCAGTTACCCAAAAATTCTTGAAATTTCGGTCAGAATGTAAATGGTAAGACACTTTTGGCTCGACCGACCGGGCAATGTTCGAAATAAACGCAACGTCTTGAAAGGTAGTAATGCAATACAGTACAACACAACACAACACAACACAACACAACACAACACAACACAACACAACACAACACAACACAACACAACACAACACAACACAACACAAACCAACACAACACAACACAACCTTGAAAACACAACGCAACGCAAAGCAACGCAACGCAACGCAATGCAGTGCAGTGCAATGCAGTGCATTGCAATACAAGTTTATTTTGTCATACACTTAGCTTTTCAGTTGTGACATGAAATGGCACACCAGCTAATTTACAGGTATTCCACATAAATAAAAGGATAAAATACAATCTAAAATAATTACACGTTATGCAAGAAGTAAAAACGTACAGTCAATAAAATGATAATATGAAGTAAGTCAGGTTAAAAGGCCCAACAGGTCCATTTTCTTGATAATGTCTTAGATGGCCTAAAAAGTTCTAAAAAGTTCTGTATGAATCTGGTAGCAGGTTCCACAGCTTTGGCGCTAGGTAACGCCATGATTTCAGTCCATAAGTTGCGGTGTTGACCTCGAGGCAGTTTTAGAATGTCAGTTTTCAAACTCAGTAATAATTCATCAAGTTAAAACAAAGAAAATCGCAACCGTGAAGGAGGTTTGGACACCCGGTCTTGATTAGCATAGCTTTTGACGATTTTACTTCTCCGTTTACTCACCTTAGTTTTTGTTTCGATTGAGAAGATGTACCAAACACTCGAGACGGTGTTTCATCGGCTATCAAACCACCGTCAAAAATACTCCGCTTCGCGTCGTACTTTCAACTCTCTTCTCGGTGTTTGGATATCTCGATGAAACACTGTCTCCCGTGTTTGATATGTTACTTTCCCTCATATCGTATTTATCGTCGTTGTTTCTATAGAGATAAACAGAGCGTTTAATTCACGACATGCTCTCATTACTCACTTCAAAATACGGAGCTTTAAGTGGACGGACCTGATGCCTTCTACCAAGTTCAACAAGGTAAGCAACAAAACGTTCATTATCGTCGAGTGACTTCACGGCATTTTCCAGGCAAGTCATCAGGGTTTTACTGTGTCCGAAGAGTTTTCTGGATGAATTTAGTTCCTCTATCGGATCAGCCGTCATAAATTCAGGCATCATCTTCTTTATCTGAGGGTTTAATTCGAAAACTCTACACAAAAAAAAGAAAGTTATGTTGTTTTACAACTGTAACATCAACGTCACGTATTGTCCTAAAGATAGGTAACCATAGCAAAGAAAATAACATTTCCGCTTAAAAAAACAAATTCACTGTTACATGGCGAACCTGTTCCCATCGGGAATTACCCATCAGTTATAAATTATGCGAGTCACGGACGGCTTCTTTATCGTGAAGATGACATGATGTCGAAAACGATTGTTGTTTTACTATACGTTTTTAAACATTTTTAAACATTTTTTAGCCTTGTGAATATTTTGTCATAACATATTAAGCGAATTTTATGGATATCAAAAAAGAAACTGATGTCAGTCGGGATCCTTCCCCCCCCCATTTTTAACAAGAAATAAACCTAAAATATGAGAGAAAACATGTGTTGCTTGTTTTTATGACGATTTCATTCCAGTAAATTGCCTTAACCTGAAAGTTGACCTCGCAAAAGTCATTAGTTTCCCTCAAAATTCGACTTAAGTGTGTAATTCAAACCGCTGTATGTGGTTCGAAATTAAACAAAATAGATCAAGACTTCCTGTTTTTAAGTGCAGATTTCATACTTGTCCGAATTTAAAGAGATATAATTGTCGTTGCTAGGCTACATCGAGTGGGAAGCAAAACAGCTTGTCAGCAATATCGAGTAGTATGACAAAAATTCAACGATGTCTTCTGACGGCACGAATTTTGTTTCTAAAATCCCTAATCCAAGTTCAAAAACTTTCTGCCAGCCTCTTTAGTTAAATTATCGCGATCGAGACTGCATTATAATATAAACTGAAGACATGTGGCGCGCGATGGGTTGTCTTGAAAGGTAAATGAAGACGAAGGAAGTTTATCTTTCTTTAATTTATTTCAATTCATGGCAGGTTAAATATATACATAACAGCAGAAAAGAAAAGAAAAGAAAAGAAAAGAAAAGAAAAACGCGCAAATATACAATCATGTAAATACAAAACGTGAAAACGTATCTAAAATAGAAGAAGCTATTGGAGGCCTGCAAAAAGGGGTCGAGAATCCATAAGCTACATGCATCAAAAGTTATATATATAAGATATATATAAAAATAAATAAAATAAAAATAAATACAACTCCATCAACTTATTCTTGTCATTACTGCATTATAATTAAAGATAACAAAACATCCTTCTTGTCGTTGTACGATTAGTCGTTGTTGCTTTACTCTTGCTTTACTTTATTCCATATTTTACTTTTGCTTTCAATTACCCAGGTATTTAATATCTCTTCAGGAATCAGCACTGAAGGCTCATTATCCGCACGACTTAGTGAGTTTCAATTCGCGAAAGAATACTCCAGAAGAAAGAGAGGATACACCATTGAGAGATGTTTGTTCTTCACTCCTTGGCTTTTATTCAGACTTTCAGAAACGTCCTCCATCTTGTTTTAGCTTTTATTCCGTTGTAGTGAGACTTAGGATTCTCGATGATAATATTTATTTTAATCAACCGAATAAAAAGACGAAAAGAAGCCTTCTTCAATCTTCTCCTCACCGGAGCACCGCCTCAATTGCTTAATGTCATATTATTATTATTAACAACCATGACAACACTCCGAGACCCGAGCCACAACTAGGTTTGTCTCGAAACTGAACGCAAGTAAAGTGTAAAAATGGTGTACTAATGTATTTTATGATTGTCTCCACTCAGCCGCAGCTCAGGGGTAAATTAAGGTACCCGAGTAAATTTGTTCCTCGATATAGGCCGTAACTGTAGACCAAACAAAGCTTCCTCTTTCATGAAAATCTCGTACGTTGAAGAGAAAAAATGGTCTACCGCACCTAGTATCTTAAAAGAATTTGCCTTTAGCCCTGCAACGGCATGACTAACATGACCACTCTAGCAAAATTAAAATTTGTTTGGGTTTTCGTGCCTTCTGCGATGAATAAATGAATAAATGAAATTGCATTCATTAAGTTTAACTTTGATGAATAACGGGCTCTCAAGAACACAACCCCTGGAAAATAGCTAATCAATGTAACAATTCTTTACACTTTGCCCCTACCTTCCCCTTTGTAACCTAACAATATTATCCGATGTAGTCATCTTGGTGGTTTGTTAAATCGTTCCTCAAATTCATTAATGTTGCCACACGCAGCTGACACCTTAATAATTTATGCTAAAAACTATAAGTTTTGAAAAACATTGAATGTTGATATTCTTCATTTCTTCTTTACCTTGTCCCCTAAAATGTCATCCTTATCTCATAGCCATGCAATATACAACACAGTAATCCGCACATATCTTTTATNTTTTTTTTTTTTGCACCGTCACAACTCTCACCTGATAAAGGTTTGTTTTCCAATTTTTGTGCGGTTTTCCTCGATCGTTATCCAAGTCTTCTTGATGACATTTTTCTGATCGTCGGTGAGATTGTTCGATATATCAGGTCTCTGGAGTTTCATTCTATTTTGCATCGACGAAGAACATCCCATTATCAAGCAAGCCGTCAATGATCACGAATAGCCCCTTAGAGAATGACAACAGATAACCAGGTGAAAACCAGATGAATATTATTTGTCGGTTGCTAATTGACCAACCCTGTTTATTATTTCTTTTTTACCTATACCACAAAAACAGACACGTCACGAGGTACGCGCATTTGACAATATTTGAAGTTGTTCCTTAAATGTTCCCGATCTTTCTTAATGTTCGTAATTTTAACCACATCATTGTTATTTTGTATTTTCTTAGTTTTCTTCGATTCAAATGAAAATTTGCATGACACCGAAACATATGTCGTAACAGCGCGCTTCTAAGCATGCAGTTAAGTAGCGCATTCAAAACTATAGCTGGAAATGCTTATAACAATTTTCTTGTGGAAACCTATAACACGATACTGACTCAGAGGATCTCGAAAGATAAGGGAGTCCATCGTGGACAAATATTTAATACGACAATGCAGAGTGAAGTCGATTACTTCTTGACAACTGAATAGCTTTCCTTTTCAAAAGGAAAACAAATTGTGAGTTATAAAAGCTTTTGTCGATAGCTAGCTTTTTCCTGTCTGCGAGCCAGCTTGGCAACGAAGCCGTCATCATTGTCACGTTGTTGCCATGGTTTCAGCGACAAACCATAACAGTCGCACGCAAGTCGCCAACGTCTCGCATAACTTATCGATGACTTTAGCCTACGGAAAAGCTTCATAGAGCACAGGCAGCCCAAGCTCACAATGCGAGGAGTTTTTTTTTTTTTT